ACACTAAATGCATGTCTGCAAGCTCTCTGTCGTACAGCGTTCCATTCGCTTCGAATGTTACCTACCACTCAAATGAGGCAATATTTACTTTCCACTAGCACTCTTCTGTACAACACCTCTGAAGGCGTACAATGACGTTTCTGGGTATGAATTCCTATGCAATTCTTAATCTTTAATGTGCCCTACCTCACCCAGAAGTTTGTCACAACATTTACAGGACACCCTGTATATTTACTTTTAAAAGGTCCTCAAATTTAACGTGACCATAAGTTGAGAATTTCCCGGAGCAGTCCCAAAGTTTCAGTCCCCGTTTTTTACAATTTGTTTTTTGTCCCGAATTTATAGCACTTGTCCTAAAAAATAATAATGAGAGAATGGAAAAATGTTCATTTGTTTCATACTTAACTGATGCATCCAATCATAAGGAAATAACACTTTTTCCAAGACTTGTTAGATTAGTAGTACGGATCTACTTTTATTAAGTTGATAAGCCATGCAATCGTGACCTGTTTGCAGTCTGAAATTTGCCACAGCCTTTTTGTGGGGTTTTTAATAAAACTTTTTCAATATGTCTTGAATGTTAGCCCAGGATTTGGCTGTTGATTTTCCTGCCTGGTCAGATTTAAAAGTATCCATTAATTTCTCAAAAATATGCTTTTTAAGTGACTGTGGAAGAAGTGAAAAATCATAGAGGCAATGTTACTTATGCCCGTGATATCTTTATTTCCCATGTGCCTCCTGGATGGTGCTAAATGAATAACAGCTATGGCTAAGGCGGCTCAGAGTATAGCAAAGGAAAAAAATATTGGAATGATAAAAAAATAAGATGTGGATGGAAATACACTGAGGTGACAATAGTCATGGGTGTGCAAATATACAGATGTCAGTAGTATCATGTACAAAATGTATAAATGGGCAGTGCATTGGTAGAGCTTTCATTTGTATTCAAGTCATTCGCATGAAAAGGTTTCTGACATGATTTTGGCTACAAGACGGGAATTAGCAGACTTTAAACATGGAATGGTAGTTGGAGCTAAACACATGGGACATTCCATTTTGAAAACCATAAGGGAATTCAACATTTTGAGATCTACTGTGTCATGAGTGTGCTAGTACCTAATTTCAGACATAATGTCCCATTATGGATAATGCGGTAGCCAACAGCCTGCACCTAAAAGACCACCGATGTGCACATAGAATTGTCAGTGTTAACAGACAAGCAACACTGCATGAAATAGCCACAGAAATCAATGTAAGATGTACAACAGATGTGTCTGGTCAGACAATGTGGCAAAATATGACTTCAATGGGCTACGGCAGCAGAAAACCAAGTCAAGTGTCTTTACTAGAACAACATCACCTGCAGTACCTCGTGACCATATTGGTTGGATCTTAGATGACAGGAAAACCATAGCCTGGTCAGATGAGTCATGATTTCAGTTGCTAAGAGCTGATGGTAGGGTTTGAGTGTGGTGCAGATCTTATGAAACCATGAACCCAAGATTTTAACAAGGCACCATGCAAGCTGGTGGTGGCTCCATAATAGTGTGGACTGTTTTTCATGGCATGGCATGGCATGGCCTGGGTCCTCTGGTCCAACTGAACCAATCATTGACTGGAAATGGTTCAGCTACTTGGAAACCACTTGCAGCCATTCATGGATTTCATGTACCCAAACAACAATGAAATTTTTATAGGTGACAATGTACTATGTCATCGGGCCACAACAATTGATTTCAAGAACATTATGGATAGTTGCAATGAATGATTTGGCCACCTAGATCCCTCAACATGAATCCCATCAAATAATTATGGAACATAATCGTGAGGTCAGTTTACGCACAAAATCCTGTACCAGCAACACTTTCACAATTATAGACATCTACACAGGCAATAAGGCTCAACATTTCTGCAAGGAACTTGCAACAACTTGTTATGTCCATGCCATGTCGAGTTGCTGCACATCACAGGGTAAAAGGTCGTCCAGCACGATATTGGAAGGTATCCTGTTACTTTTGTCACCTCAGTGTAACTGCATATTTTAATAAGAGCCAGATACCTTGTTCAAATATTTCAAAATTGCCAGTTTTTCTTTTGTCTTCCTGGCACTAATGCTGCAACTGAGCGAGTATTTAGCATTATACTAAATACTCGCTCAGCTAAAAAAGCTTTTGGACTAGCAATGAGACACAGCTTAAAGTGGACACTTTGAAGGACCTGTTACTTTTGTCACCTCAGTGTAACTGCATATTTTAATAAGAGCCAGATACCTTGTTCAAATATTTCAAAATTGCCAGTTTTTCTTTTGTCTTCCTGGCACTAATGCTGCAAATGAGCGAGTATTTAGCATTATACCAAATACTCGCTCAGCTAAAACAGCTTTTGGACTAGCGATGAGACACAGCTTAAAGTGGACACTTTGAAGGGTATGCTAATCACCAAATTTTGATGAAAATTGCACTGGCTTTTATATGAAGATAAAAAAAGAAAATGATGTTTTAAGAAATATTCATGCTTCAGAGACTATTATTCTACTTCATCATAATAATTTACAAAGGGTTAAAAATTTATTATTCTGTTTAAAAATGAATATAAATATATATACAGTACAAAGTCCGTAATCCGAACTCGTTGGGAGTTCGGTGATTCCAGATTATAGATCATCAATTTAAATCTGGTAAGATGGCATGCAGAGATTATACAATTAAAAATGTGAAACTGTAATTTATGAAATAAAGAGCAATTCTGATCTAAAGGGTATCAAAATTTACAAAAAAAAACTTAACCCCTTGGGTACATTTGACGTCTGAGACACGTAATTCACTTTTTCCCCCTAGGAGCGGATGACGTGTCTAAGACGTCACACCAAAAATTAAACTCTTGGGTACATTTGACGTCTGAGAGACATCATTCACTTGTTTTCCCTAGGAGCGGTTGACGTGTCTAAAATGTTTCTTGAGGTTAGGTACAATTCTGTTCATTTCATTGTAGCTTGTATCAGTCATAATAGAAGAGGCAATTACAGTATTTCAGTGAACATTGTTTGCGATACTCTGCTCCATTATGTCAAAAAGAAGGAATATATTTTATGATAGTGATAGTGAAAGTGACTTTGAGAAATCTAAAGAAAAATTGTTTAGTGATCCTGAAATTGACAATTATAATGAAATACAAAGCTAAGGTGATGAAGACGATACTGAACTAGTGTGTGTGTGTATGTGTGTGTGATTATGGCAAAGCCTCGAGGGCTATCTGCCTAAGAGGAGGGATGCCTTTGTGGAGGACTTTCTAAGGGAAACTGGCTCGTATACACGTTACACATGGGGAAAACCACGAAAACGCCCATGCAGCCAGCCCGTTCGCGGGATTCGAACCTCGGACCGAACTACCAGTGTTCAGCGACTTTACCGCTCGGCCGCTGGTGGGCGATACTGAACTAGAAAATGACGACAATTGTAATATAATATCAAGGTTTCGAAGACGCACAAGACGTCTATCGAGCAGTGATAGTGAATCTTCTCGTGAACCAGCATCAGAGGAATGGATTTAGGAAGAAGAAAGTGTAGCCGATATAAAAAATTTTTCTGAAATATCTGGAATTAATCCTTTGAGCCTGTGTAGACTAAATGGTAATCCTACGCCTTTAGATGTTTTGAAAGAAGTCCTGAATGAAGATTTTTGGGACACTATAGTAGAAGAGACGAATAGATATGCCAGACAAGGGATAGAAAAAGAAGGTTGTGTGTAACAAAAAAAAAAAAAAAAAAAAAAAAAAAAAAGGTGGTTTCCTGTAAGTTCTGATGAAATGAAAGCTTATATTGCATTATGCATCTTGATGTCGCAAGTGAAGAAGCCAAAAATGCATATGTATTGGTCAAAAAGACATGCAATAAGTACTCCAATTTTTGTCAGCACTATGGGAAAGCACTATTCTAAGGGAAACTGGCTCGAATACATGTTACACATGGGGAAAACCACAAAAACGCCCATGCAGCCAGCCCGTTCGCGGGATTCGAACCTCGGACCGAACTACCCCATTTTACGGATAATGAAAAGGAAAATAAAGATGACAGAATAAGAAAGATTAGAAATACAGTGGATTACCTAAATAATAAATTTTGTTACCTTTATACTCCTGATAGTGAAGAAGCTACTGATGAATCGCAACCAAAAATTATATCCGTACCACATGCAAATATTTTCTCAAAGAAATCAATACCCAAGGGGTTAATATTTATTTGTTTACTTTAGTAAACATTTCTATTGATGTAAGTTGTTTAAGTTGCTTCGTTTTTTGTGCTAATACTTTCTCTTAAATTCTATAAACAGACATAATTTCTTGTTCAGTTACAAAGTTCCACTGTTCAAGTCCTGTAATTGCTGTGTCGAGAATACCGACTAAATTGTCAATCGAAATTTTTTCATTTTCAATAATGCTTTCTCTTACTTTCTTCACTATCGGAAGCACGCATCGGTAAATGCTTTGCTGGCTTTACGTGCATGTGTAAACGAATTACGCGCATGTGTAAGTTTGTGGTTTTGAGGTCCGGATTATAGATCATTCCGGATAATGGATGTCCGGATTAGAGACTTTGTACTGTGTATATATATATATATATTGCCCTACATACTAAATCCACTTAATTAACAATAATTATAAAATAATTTATTTGTAAAAAAAATTATTTAAAAAATTATAATATATAGCATAGCAAATTTAAAACTTTGAAATCTGGTCACCTTATTCTAATTAGGCAGAATGAAGACAAAAATCAGTAAGAAAACAATCCTGCACTCTGCTTGTTAGTTATGTTGCTTATTTACTGGTAGGGCAAAGTTATAATTTATGTTATAAGATACGAGAATTCATAGACTTTGTTAATGAACTTAAAAGTGTTATCACAATAACCATCGCTGAATCCATGATGCAAGGTACAGTATAAATACACACAAAGCAGAATGTACAATAAAAGGCTAAGTTATAAGAACAGAATACTTGCCAAGCATAGGTGAAACAAGCCATAAAGAGAAAACATCTCTTGCACTAGCAGGTAATGAAAGATCCTGATCATCTAATAAAATTAGTTCCATAAGTTCTTGCACAGTGGCTTGCGGGGGATTCTCTGATTCTACACAAAGCACTACTTTGTTCATTAGCATCACACAAATGTCTTCTTCTAATGAAAAAAAAATACAAAAACAAGTCTTATGTTTTAAGTGTGTTTTTATCCAACATTTTTTTTAATAAGGAAAAAGTATATAATATATCAATTACTGCCTATTAAAGAAAAGTAAACTTAAAATATATTACTTCAGATTGAGGTTTTTATCACTGTAAAAATGAGCCTTGAGGATAAAAGATTTTTTTTTTTAAAGATAACAGATAATAATTTACAATTTGGTCTTGGTAATTTGAAACTGTGATTAAATTTACAAGCTATCAACAATAAAGGGTTTTAGAAGGGGAATAGCAAACACATTAATATATGCCATAATAAAAAATATACACTCACGAACCAACACATTATGACTATCCCTATATTTTTCAATGAACTTGTTTGAATGACATGAAGGGCACGTGATTATGTGAGAATGGTATTTAACTGTTGCTGGAGGAAGTAAGAAATTATTCTTGCACTTATTTCTGCTAGTGATGGGAAAGGCTGCTGATCAAAGCAAATTGGATAGAGGATATATTGTAATGGCCTGAAGACGTGGAACAAGTCCCTCTGAAACTGCAGGACATGTAGGTTGTTCATGATCTGCCATTATTAGACGTCCATGCATCAAAGAAAAAGGACAACAGAGATTATCCCACTTGGCACAGGAAAATCGGCACCAGACAGTGGCTCAGCTGATAGCTCATTACAGTGCAAGTCCAAGTGTTTTGGAACACACAGTTCAGCAGACACTATTGGATATAGGACTGTGCAGCAGATGTTGCACATGCGAGTTCATGGTCTGGAGTTCCGGGCAATTTGGAGCTCTGAGGAGGCAAATTTCTGCTGCAGTTCTTGCACCACTGTATTTTTGCTGATGGCAGCTGACTCCTGGCATGATTTTAGTTCCACAATTTTATCAGCCATTGTGGCCAACTTGTCCAGAGTTTGGCTACTAACCACCAGAATGTTTTTCACAGTGTCTGGCATCTTTTCCAGCCAGAGAGATTGCAAAATATTCTCTGACATGTCTACCCCCAGAGATTTCATTCTGAGAAGGAGCTGGCTGGGTTTCATGTTGCCAAGTTCAAACCTGGTGAGGACGTTTAACCCTTTGAGGAGTGGTACATAAAAATAATTTAAATTGTAGTAAAATTTTGCATGAACTATAACTTACAGACCCTAACGACACAAAATTCATACTTTAAAAAAATCTAGAGCGAAATCCTAAATTTTAAGAGCCGGTATATATTTTATATCGGTGCCCCTCTAAGACATTTTTTTTTCTTGGTAGCTGCCAATTTTTGTATTTTAAATAAATTTTTTGTACTTTTGATATGCATTTGTAGAGATGGGTCCCCTCTAAGATCTGTCTGTACCTAGGCAGTCTCAACCACGGGGGTTAATTTGACTTCACAAGACTAGAGCCCGAGTATTGTACTCAGGTTGGTTCAGGCTTGGCAAGGACCATACTGGTACTGTCGTGTCTGTTCCTTCGGCTGTGGTGGAGCTACATGGTATATATCGTCGACTAAGTTCCCGGGGGTTTGACCCCATTCAGTTCTCGTGGCGGGGACTGACAAAGCGGACAGATCACTTTATTACAATGTGGTTTCGCCAATGGAGTGGTGCCCAGTGGCAAGGTGACAACATATTAATTTTGCAATGTTAAAGTTCTGCCCAATGCTTAGTAAAAGCCGGGCAGGGACTGAGGGGGCTGCGCCCGCGCGAACGAGGTCTCACAGACGTTGGATACCCCAAACTCTGAATGGGTTCCACATAACGAGGACCTGGGATGAAGGTCCTTCGTCCGGTGTGTCTGTAGAGATGGGTGCTTGAATGTAGTTATGCAAGTCTGAAGACAAAAACTTTTAAAATTTTAAATATAAAATTTGTTTTTATGCACTTTGATGATGCAACCCAGCTGAACATACTTATGTAAAATATGCGTAAAAAGCTTTTAAACTTGATTTAAATTCAATATTATTATTTTATAAAAAAAATTAGCAAATATAAACTGCATGTGTAAATCGTATCACGCTGTAACTGAACTAGTATATTACAAGGACATATAACTCAGCCTGAAAATAAAAAAATTGCAAAATGAAACAAACGCTCAGGTGAGAAAGTATGTTGCATATTTGAAGTTATATTTTATACTTTAGATAATATGTAAAAAAAAAAAAAAAAAAAAAAAAACATAATTCATGCTATAATACCAAGAATCCCCCTTTCCCACACACACTTTAGATTATTGAGGACCGTAAGGACCCCTTTTTTATTTTTTGTAAATATAGGTTGTAGTAGATCTTTTTGTCCAGGCCTTTAAACAATATTATTATTTGATACTCCTCAAAGCTCTTATTTCGATTTTCAACCCCTTTGACTTCCTAGGGGCTCCTTTTCAACTTTTGGATAAATTTTAGTTTGTATCTGAAAGGGGCCTTAGAAATATTTTCCCTCTTTTCACCAACCGTGAAATTTATTTCAAAAACAACCTATTTTTATCTTAACTCAGAAGGCAAATTTCTCTCACCGTGCCCTAGTCTTTCATCTGAAATTAACAAAGATGATAAGAATAAAAGCATGCTTTCAAATCAGCGGTTTTTGTGATTACACTAAGAGATGGACCTTAAGTGCAATTCCATATCCTGTATTTTTAAGTGAGCTTTCTCTTTGTGTGATCTTATCGCACCACACAAAGGGAAGAAGGCGTGACTCCGGAATGACAAATCAGTTATTAATCACCTCTTTTCCTTTTCATTGAATTCTAGGATTTTGTAAAGCACGAAGCAATGGGTGTCTTTTGGAGGCTAACATGCCACATTTAGCCCCTACAATTGTGCAAAATTTTGACCCCAGACAGCAATTTTGAAATCGATGAGTGTTTCTCTTAGAAAAAGGTGAAGTGCTGAAATTAAAATTTTAGCTAAACAGAGACGAATGAAACGAGTGGAATTAAAAAAGAATTCAGTCCTAGCGCAGGGTCAGTAAACTTCCCATCCCTTCATGAACATAATATTGAATCTCAAACAACTTATAAATTAATCATTAAAATTATTACTTCATAAACTGTCATAATATAAAGAAATTCTGTCATGTGATGGAATGGAAAAGGAGAAGACTGGTGCTTCCATCTACTGCCATGGTACCACCCTCATGCCTATAGGGGTGAGGGTACTACGCCATCTCTCATCCCTATTGGCGTATGGTGGATGCTGGTATATATATTATATACCGGTTTTAAAAATCGTATAAATAATCTGTTAATTATCACTTCCGACTGAAATGATGTAAATATATAAGATTCAGCATGTATATGTCATATATTTGCAGATTTTGAATTTTTTTCTTTCCTTCCAATAGAATTTATCAATCTTCAAACATGATACCTTGGAACGAGGTATATTAATTTGATAAATGAAAAATATAGAGCATTCATAGGATGGTGCTGCCATTTAGAATCGAAAGAAACAATCGAAACTTACGATTATAGTTTTTGGTTGTAGAAAAATTAGCATTTTTTCGGAGGTTAAAACATTGATAAACAACGGTATATATTATATACCGGTGCCGTTCAAAGGGTTAATGCGGTGATTTGAACTTTCCTCAAAAGTGTTGAGTAATCGTTCCTTAGCAGCCGAATATTTGTTGCTCATAGAGTCTTTAATGATATCCCAGATGATCTCCATAAATCTTGGTTCTAATTGGGCAACCAAATAATTGTTCTTCATTCTTGATTCCGCTAATTTGAAATTGGACTCTTTTGATCCAAAACGGCAGAATTTTCACACTCACCTTGCTAGCTTCGGCATTTGGCATTTGGTTGGGCAGTTTTATCGCTGTCCATGGCAAAACAAAATATATTGATGTATCGTCTGATTCACCAAAAATATTGCGGCAGTTACATCAGAAGGTTGCAAATTATTGTGTGCCTTTTAAATAAAATAGTAAATACTCCAATTTGTGTTAAATCTATTAGTTTAAGGGCTTAATAAATTTCAAGACACCCCATTGATGATTTTCTTGATGTTGGATTACATTCCGGATAGCTGCTAGGGAAAAACTAACAGCTTCTTTAATAAATCATTCATCATGTAGAAGTAATCATAGACATTACTTAGCTGTTCTTAGTTTTATATTGTCATAATATTATTGACATTTTTAGTTTTAAAGGATAATAATTTAAACAACACTATAACAACAACCGATTCGAAAGTTCCCCAAAATTTGAGTTCAAGTTAAAGTTCTAAATAAAAATGCTAGTTTTATGGTTATCATTTGGTTAATCTCTGCTGCCAAAACGCTCAAAACAATTACTGTTTTCTTCTCCTTTTTCTTTTACCGGAGTAGTTGCCAAAAACTCAGATGCTGGTAGACCAGTAAAGCTTTAGGATTGATGTGTTTCAAGCGTTTCTAATTACAAGTGGTTGCTCAAACTCTCCTTCCTTGTTGTAACAAAGGTCAGTGAGACGTGTCTTGAAGCTTTTACAGTATAACAATTGCTATATGAAAGAAAAAAACAACAACTTGATAACTGTTGAACCATTTGGCAAGATTCAGTTGAAACTTGGCGGAAGAATGCAGGAATTGAGTAACTTGGAAACTTTTTGGGCATGCACACTCATATTGCTGTTGTTCATTTTTTGTTGACAATGATGAAATACATAGTTTCTGAATGTATATTCATCATTAAGGCCTACTATCAGAGAAATAATAGTCTGATTATGGCTCAAAGGAAATTGGTGACGGAGTACAAATATTATAACAATCAACAATCTGATTGAAAAGTTTGAGGGAACTGGTAGTGTTTGTGATAACAGTGTTGGCAATAGTGGTCATATAGCAACTATTAAAATGCCGGAAAATATCAAGAAAATACGAATAGTGTTTAAAAATAGCCCCAAAACATCAATCAGACAAGCTTCACAAAAGGTCATAATCAACCACAAGACTTGCGACAAATTGTTGTTCAACACCTGCAGCTCTTTCCATACAAAATTCAAACTCGTCAGCCT